GTAATGGTTCTCAACCTTTTTAGACTCCAATCACACCACATTAGACTCAAGGCACACTTCAGAAAATGCCAGCTCTTAGCTTTCACTTATTCTTTTGACTATGGAAATATAATAGAGCAATTCTTCAGTTGCAAAAAGCACAACAGAGACAACAACAGGTCAGAATGTTTTTGACAGTATGGATTCCTAGTTGAAATTTCTGGGTTAACTTGTCAGTCATGTGTTGGTGTTTGCACAGCTAACAGAGCTAATATTGTGTGGCAACCCACAGCACCCTTAGAATGATCTCATGACACCCAAAGATACCAGACACCTGGGTTGAAAATCACTGCATTAGGGAGATGAACTTTACTGAAGATGATTTATCTGGTTAAATCAGATGATTTATCTGGTTAATACATATTAGTATTTGCATATATATTCATATAAAATACCAGTGGGCTCAAGTGCCAAATCCTGTAACTATATTTTTCCAGTTGTTAGTACCTAGACATTGAAGGCTCCCAAAATGTTATGTCGACAAATATCCTTTTTATTTTTTTTCCTTGTTCCTATTAACAGCTTCCCATTTTTCAGGCATAGGGCTCTTTAGATAAGCCTGAGACTATAAGTCACCCACTTTCCACTGAGAGGCAATGGGAGCTGGATGTGACTAACTCCCAATGAAAATCCCATCTGTAGATTGCAAAGCACCAGAGATCATTCTGGATAATGCCATTATATGAATATAAGATTATAATGCTTATCCTTGGCTGCTTTTCATGTGTGTGTAGATTTTTAATTTATTAAAATATTTTACAAGATAGAATAATAAGAGGTCAGTATATAAAGCAGTTAAAAGCAATACAGTAATCTACTTCCAGAAAGGCAATCAGTTATTAAATTCAAAGGACAAGGATGGATTTTCTGAAGTATAAATTAATAGATGACCATGAGGTTACCAAACAATTCATAGACATTTACAGGGGATAACAAACTGAATAGAATAGTACACAGTTTGCAATACCTAAATGAAAGCTGAGTGTGTGCATGAATATGATTCTAACATCTCTGTAATAAATATTGTTTGTTTACATGGGCTTATTTCTTCTTCCAAGCAATCACCTTTACCCTGTATCCAACAGCTTGTAGCTAAAAGAGTTCTGTTTGAGGCTTTGTTTTGGGGATTAAAACTGTTTCACTATAATCTCTGTTTTTGTTTTATAAACTGACGGAGGCATTAGAGATGAAAATTAATGCCACCGTGGATTCATTAATCATACTGGAAGGCTTGCTTTGTTATAATAGGCTCTTCCAGCAGAAGGCGCACATAATCAGTTTGGATTTTAAATTCAATCCCCTATTTAAAAAGAAGAACCTGGAGAAGCATGGCTTCTGTTCTGGGTTCTTTTAAAGAGTGCCATACTGTACAAATAATTTTGCATTATAGCGTGCCTTGCTTTCCAACAGTAACGACTCATTGATTAAAGAAGAAGGGTCTAGGGAACTGAATGTTTGGAGTCTGATAATGGGATATATAGTATTTTGTCCATAAGTCCCTAAATCAAATGGAACTCATGGTAATAGTGGTCAACCACTGTTAGCACCATTTGCTTGCTGCTGGTGGCAAGTATAAAATGACTTAGTGAGTCTCAATCTACTTTTTAGTGAACAGGTGTTTTTATAAAAAAAAACAACATCACCACAGCTGGTATTAACTGATACTGTCAGGAAAAAGGCCAAGGATTGAGAAGGCATGTTAACTAAATTACCTTCAGAGTGATTCCCCAAGTGTAGGGTTAGGGCCCTCTGGCAGATGGCTAGAGGGAAGTTTGCCTATCCACAATTCATGCTTTTTGTGGATAAACAGAAGATTTTCAGGGTTTTCAGTCTGATATATGAGCATTAGAAAGGGGGATAAAGCTCGGTTATAAATCAGGATTAGCTGCCCTGCACCAACTAAATGTGTCTTAGCTATTGATATTTAGGAATAGTTTTATATAGATGGAGGATATTCTGTGGGGAGAAGAGTTTAGTGACAAGTTTAAATGAAATAAAGCTGCATAAATCTCATTAAACAAATGTTTTAGGTCAAAAGTACAGATTTCCCTAAAGATGCCTCCATTTGACCAAAGCTGAAGTATCACCTTTTTCATCAGTACAAATTCAGTTAATTTGAAATCTTAGTCCATGCACATTGTCCCTTTCCCCCATCATTTACATGACAGAAAATTAGGATTAGGTGTGGACCTTAAAAAAAAACTTCAATGATATTGAGGGAGCTTGATTATTCAGAGATTCCCAATTCCCTTGTGGTATCTAATTTCAGAGAGGAAACTGTTAATATAGCTGACTACACTTCCCAGCATTCAGTGAATCTGCCTTTAAAATATGCTATCTGGGTAGGAGAGTAATAATCTGAAATCAAAACCAGCCTCAGTGGCTTTTGGGAGTTGTAGTCAAAATAAACTATTGGTCAAGGTAAACTGTTGGCCAAAAAAATGTTCAGGGACATTCTCTTAACCTAACATGCCTAACTGGGACATCTAGAGGAGCAAATAAGACTCTATGGAGTAGCATAATACAACTTTAGAGAGTGCAAGACTCTCTTGAAGGGTTTTAGATAAGATAGTATCTTCCTTGGCTTCAGGCCTACAAAGCTTAGGTCTCATTTTTCACACCAGATACAGAACAGGATTTGTGGGTGTTAAAAATAATCTGTTTTTGCTTCTGAAATCCTCTTTTAATCATTAAAAAGAGAAGAAACAACTGTGGCTGAACCACCTTTATGGTGAATGTGTACAGTGTGATTTCATATATTGATTTGACCAATAGTGTTATTTTTTTCAGATATGACTACAAAAGCATACAACAGAATTTTCCAAACGTTTAAAAATAAAATATGTACACCAATTAAAAACTAGATTTTAATGAACTGTTATATTTTACAGTTGTTATTAAAAAGTTTTGATGAAAGGCTATGCCTGTAGCCAAACATTTATAAAGCGAGTCCCTGCTTTGCTGCTGTAAGAGAGAAATTGTTTTGTTAATGACTTACATCAAAAGATCTCCAGCAGTTATTCTCTCAATAGGCTTAAAAAGTAGGCATTGGTATATTATCCATTTTATAGATGAATACATTGCTAGATAGAGAATAGGGTATGTTTTTTTTCAAAAGTGGCATCTAAATTTTCATGACTAATTTGGTTGCCTAACTTTAGACACCTAATGTATAATTTCCAAAAGACTGAGCATATACAGTTCCAGTTGAGCCATAGCTGTCTAAAGTTGGGAAACACAAGCAAGAAGCCAGCTGTGAAAATTTGGGCCCAACTAGTTGGCTCCAAAATCACAAATAAACAGGAATCCTGTGCTCTCCTAGTTCTGTGATGTGATCTGTAAATGAGATTATTCACTTTATTAAGCATGGATCTCAAAGCACAGCCAAAGATCCTGATTTTCAGGAACCAATTTTAGACAGAATAAAATTCAACATCAGGGATGTTATTGGACTCTGAAAGATTTTAATTGGTCATGATTTATAGTAATAGAGGTAGCATTGTTTAGAGGACTGAACAACTCCAAAAGCTAAAAATTCCTTAGAGGGAAATTTGACTTTGCTCAAGACTTATGTAGTCTTGGCCAAGCAAATCAAACTCTTCCTGCCTGTTTTATCACCTGTAAAATGGTGTTAATACTTATATTTCTGTTGGAGGTTGCAAAATTTCGTTCATTAATACAATGCCTTGAATTCTTCAAATGGAAGGTGTTATATAGAGGGGGGGCATTGGTGTCACTTAATATGTTAAAGAGCTTTTAAGATGTTAAACCTTCTAAACCTGCTAAGCGTTTTTATAGATAAATATCTGTAGAGCATTTTAAAGATAAAGCCGTAGTAATTTCCAGGGTACCCCAGCACCCCAGTATCCAGGTGGCAAATGATGTAAAATTAAAGCTTTTATTGAACTACATTGAACATTTCTCAGTTCAGAGAGTTTGCTTACTAATTGTTTCTTGTTTACTACTAATTTGGTTCCGGTTTTAGTTCATTTTCACCCTTCTCATAAGCACCATGGAGTGGAAGGGCTTCCACTGAGAACTCCCCATCAGAGGAGCCCAGCGGGGCACCACGGGCTGCAGCTCTTGGCTCTCTCCCAGTGCTTCCCCCTTGGTCATTACTGAAGTGGTCCAGAGCCTGACCACCTAACGCTGTACCCACAGGTTACAGGGGCAGCGAGGACCTCTCTCCTGTGATCATCATCACACCCAGGGCCAGTCCCAGCTGGGAGCGGCCCGCGTATTAGCACCACACGGGGTGTTTGCTGGGAGGGGGGTGCTCCGAGCGAGGCTCCGGGCAGGGAGGGGTTAATGGGGCAGCACCTGGATGCCCGGCTATGGAGCTACCGGGCTCAGCGAATCAGAGCCCCCTGGAGAACAGGTGTTTGCTGTCGTCAGGGCGCTGGGAGGGAAGGAGGGGGTGGCCGCCGCCGCCGGATTC